TGCATATTGTCTTTTTAAAATGCTGTTTAATGTATAGATTACTTGATCATACATAACTGTAATTCTGTTAAAATATGAACAGTTAATAAAAATATAAAATTAAGAAGGGCCAAACACAAGCAGGGATTCATCTTCCATCTCCCCACCAAAATACCATTTTACTTTAATGTTTATTTTTCCAACAGAATTTTTGTGAATCTGTTGCTACTTTGCTCCAGTGCAAGATGTTTATCTTCCATTAGACAGTTCTACAATGACTTACTCCATGTGCATGTAGCTTTAAAAATAAAATCTATGAGATGGGTGGATATTGTTCTCTAAAAAGACTCAGCAATTATACCTAATACTATTTTCAGTGAACACAAATTCTTATCAGTAATTCCATGTAGTGAAGAAGCATGTACAGAACAAGTTGCTATGTGTACCTGATCTTGATACTGCTACCTGCATGCAAAATGGATAGATCCAAGGATCTGCCATCTTGGCAGAAATACATCAGAATGTGCATAAGATAATTAGATATGCAGCTCAAGCCAGGATACCTGTCATCTAATGTGTCTATTATCGCTGCTGTGTAAATGAAAATATGTATTTTCACCTGCCTCTATTCTCACACACAACTTAGGGCCATAGTACATAGTTAATACTGGTTATGACCACTTTATTTTCTTGCCTTTATGTTGAGGTAGTGCCTTCCTCAAACCATGTAAATTACTGTTCTGTAACTCCCACCTTGACTTTTGGGAGGCTCTTCATATATGATTATTCATGTTCAGTTCAGCATTGGCTTCAGATAAGAGATGGAGGCAAGCCCTCAGTTTGAAAGCTGTTATGGTCCAGTTCAGCAACACTCCACAAATTGCAGGTGAGCTGTAGCCACCTGAATTACAGATTCAGTAAGCTGAAGTCCAGGTAGTTACCCATGCTTTTAGCAAGGCTTTAGGACGTGGACAATATATGACCCTCCCAATATTTTGGAATGGATGTCGTTAGATAAGCTAACACCTAAACTTCTTCTAAGATTCCTAGTGTTTGGACAAGCATCTCACAAAGCTTAGAGTCAAAGGGGACTATGGCATTGAAGATTTAAAACTGAATTCTTAGAAAACTCACTTAAACTATAATATAAAAGCATTAGTTTGAAACTACAAGGAGTGCAAAGTATCAAATTTAAATACAGTACATCACCTCTTAAGTTGTAACCAAATCATCCTTCAGCTGTCAGAATGTTATGATAGTGACCTTGTTCAGCTCAAGTACTAACCAATTGTTTTGAATGACATATAGAAACCTATTCTCAAACCACACTTTTAACCAGATTTTAAATGAGTCTGGTTAAAATTCTTCTCAAGATTGGATGTCCACGTTGACACCTTAACATAATCAAATCATTTCATGAGGAAAAGAAGGTCACTGTAGTTTCTGATGGCTCAACATCAGATCCCTTTGACAATCCAAAGTGGAATGAAACAGGGCTGTGTCCTCATGCCGACCCTATTTGGGACCTTTCTTGCTGTCATGCTGAAGCATGCTTTTGGAACTGCAGCAGAAGGTGACTATCTCCAGACTAGATTAGATGGAAAACTCTTTAATCTCTCTAGATTGAGAGCAAAAACCAATATCCAGCTGAAATCCATGCGAGACTTCCGCCAATGATGCAGCTGTTGTTGCCCATTCTGCTGAAGATCTCTAACAATTTATGAATTGTTTTAGTAAGGCCTGCCAAGATTTTGGACTAACAAATCAGCCTGAAGAAAACACAAGTCATGGGCCAGAACGTGGACTCACCTCCCTTTATTACCATCTATACACAAGAATTGGAGGTTGTTCATGACTTTGTGTATCTTGGCTCAACGATCTCTGACACCTTCTCCCTAGATGTCAAGCTGGAGAAACACATTGGCAAAACAGCTAGCATGTTCTCTAGACTCACAAAGAGAGTATGGCTTAATAAGAAGCTGACGACATATACCAAGATCCAGGTCTATAGAGCCTGTGTCCTGAGTACACTCCTGTACTTCAGTGAGCCCTGGACCCTTTGTGCACAGCAGGAGAGGAAGTTGAACACCTTCCATATGCATTATCTCCGACACATTTTTGGTATCACGTAGCAGGACAAAGTTCCAAATACGTAGTCCTAGAACGAACTGGAATTTTTAGCATGTATACATTACTAAAACAGCAAAGTCTACATTGGCTTGGGCATGTCATGAGAATGGCTGACAGTCGGATTCCAAAAGATCTCCTGTATGGAGAATTAGTGCAGGGAAATCGCCCCAGAGGGAGACCACAGCTGTGATACAAGGATATCTGGAAGCGGGATCTGTAGGCCTTAGGAATGAACCTCAACAGATGGGAAACTTTAACATCCGAGTGTTCAGCCTGGAGGCAGGTGGGGTAGCATGGCCTCTCCCAATTTGAAGAGGCACTTGTTCAGCAGGCCGAAGCAAAGAGGCAGTCCCGAACCCATCAAAATCATGGAGTTGGACAGGGGACAGCTTGTATTTGTCTTCAGTGTGGAAGGGATTTCACTTTAGTATTGGCTTTCTCAGTCACACTAGACGCTGTTCCAAGACCTCTATTCAGAGCACATTATTCTCAAGACTGAAGGATGCTTACAATAATCAATGAGTCCAGTCTCAGAAGCAAAAAACTAGGAGTGCTCAGGTTACACACTGAATCCCAGTTACTGCTCACTTTCTTGTTATAAAGTGACATCATCTGCCACAGAACAGCATGTAAGAATGAACAATACAAATTTGGGAACTTTTCTGCCTTTTACAGACACCAGGGAAATGTAGGTCATGTCTACCTGTATAGTTCCTTTTCAAAATCTGCATACCTTTTATAATATTTCCTAATTTTAGTTTTAGTTCTAACGTAAGTGCGGTGCCCCAAGCATTTTTCTAATAGACATAGAATCCTAGTAAAATATATGATAAACCCGAATGTGATTTCAATAATCAGTGATGGGCTAAAAATGGTTTACTATTCCTTTCCTTTCTGCAGTCATTTCTCAAAAGATTCAAGAACTTTTCAATCCCAATAATTCAGAAGGTAAAGAGACCTGTGCCAGTGCACATACTGTATGTGACTCTGAATACACACATATAAATTTACAAACAAATGTTTCTAGTACTAAGTGTTTAGTTGTGTGGTCTTTGAATATTAGATATTCTGTAATTAATTTAAGGATGAATGGATTTTACAGTCTTGATTTTAAATCCTACCTTTCACACTAAATAAATATATAACTTGATTGTGATTTCTGTGCATTTTCATCATTTTAACAAAAAAGGTCATTGGCCAACACGCTTAATATTCTGCGCTTCCATTATATACTATATCCCTCTAGGAAAACGGTGGGGTGAGGGAAGGTATCTTTCTGATTTGTTACTCCTTAGCAATAACTTGAACTGTATTACCAAAAAAAACAAAAACAGGAATTGTAAAAAAGCGCAAGAGGGAGCTAAAGTAACACCGAAGTGCAAAAAGTTGGCTTCTCCATCTGTCAACGGAGGTAAAACAAAGTACTGTACTACAGTATTAAAAACAAGGCACATTTGTATACTTTTTGTAATTTTAATACTGTTGCAGCCGCCAATTTGGGCATTAGCATTATTTCCTACTTCCGTGAGATTTGTTAACTGGCAAGCAATGAGTAAGGTGGCCCCTTTCTTTTATCAGCATCCCAAATGATCCTACGAGGAAAATCCACAGAAGACGTGTTGCAAAGGAGGATCTGCGCAGAACAGAAAGGGCTGTTGCGTGTCTTGAGCCCAGCGTTTCAACCATGCATCAGGGATCCATAAGGTTTTTTTTTTTTTAATTGAGAGGTCCTTACTGTCTGAAAGCATTTTGGGCAACTTATACTACTTCGTGTTTTCTCGTTTGTTAAAACGAGGCTGGATTAGGTCAGTGACTCAGGCGTGAGTCCCAATAAACCAGTCGGTGCAGCCTTGGGCAAAGAGCGCAGTCCCATAGCAACTCCAGGAAAAAGTACCATCTACCTTAGGAAAACCTGGAGAGGGTGACCGTACGTCGGCATCGACTTGACAGCAGGTAATTATTATTACACGGGCATCTGTCAGAAGGCTTTCCTTTCCAACATGTGGCTACAGGTTCTGTTTTCGGGGAGCTGCCGAAACGCCTGGTCCTCGGCAGCTGCCTCCCTCTCTTCTCCTGCCCCCCCAAATCTTCCCCAGCTCTGGCGGGGAGCAGCAGACAAGACTCGCCTTCGCCCTCAAAGACAGACTGACATCCTGGGACCGGCTACGGCTTCTGTCATCGCACGCAGGCGACGGTCGGCGCGTTTGCCTATCTTTCTTTCTCTTCCTCCCCCCCGCTCCCAATTAAGGACCTGCAACCCCGTATTTCACTCTAAGGGTTCGAGGCCCTCGCCGGCCAGGCACCTTTCACGCTTCTCTGAGGAAAGACTGCGCCGAAGGGAACGACTACGGAGCGACCGGCTAACCATCCAATCTGCTTCCGGGCTGAGGAGATTCCCAGCAGCGGGCGGGACTTAAAAGAGAGCGTGGTTTTCCCTCAGCTTTCCCCTCAGGAACCGCCTCCCGCCGGGTTTAGAGAGCGAGCTGGCCCGTCCGTTAGGCGGCGCTCCGCCAGTCTTTCTTCGGATGCCGGCCACCTCAGAGTCCGCAGAGCAAATGCTTTGGAACAGAAGCGTCTCTTACGCCTCCGCCTCTTCAACCCCCCCCCACTCCGTCCTTAGCGCGCGCCAGTGCCCTGAATTAAAATGGCGAAACTTCCGTCTTACGTGGAACTCACGCCCTTGCCCTAGATAAGTATGGTTCAGCGCCTGCGTTGAGGTTTGCAGAAAGAGAGCGTCTGTCTTCCTTGACTTCCTTGATCCAATCGGCGGCCGCCAACTCTCCCGTCCCGAAAACCTCTTGACCAATCAGGAAAGGCAGCGTGGAGACTCGGGTTGGGGTGGTCCAATGGCAAGGCCGAACGTGGGAAAAGGAACAAAGAGCAGCCAATGAGGAAGAGAATGGGCGTTGAGCATGTCGTCAAGGCGCCGGCTGTGGAGAGAGGGAGCCCAGCCAGCCGAGGTGGTGGTCGAGAGCGAGGATGCGGGCGGCCAACGGGCTCTGGGCGGCGCTGGCTCTGATCCTGCTCCCGGCGGATAGCCACGGTCTGCGGGAGGGAGACTGCGAAGGTGAGTCCACTTTCGGGGCCGGGAGGGCCGGCGAAGGAGCAACCTGCGTGGGAATCAGGCGCCTCCCCGGGGGCTGCGCCGAGAGAGGCAGCGAAAGGTCTCCCTGGTCCCGTCTCCGGCCTCGAAGTTAGGCAGCGCTCTCGGCGCCCCCCCCTTTTTTGTTTTTGGTCGAAAAGAAATAGCATTGGACCACCTCGCGGGGTCGTTGTGAGGAGGAAAGTAGCCCTGCCGCAGCAGGCGCTAAAAACCGATTGCTCCGGAGAGAAAGCGGGCGTCGTGCCCGCTCTGGGTTGAGGGAGAAGGGGAAGGACTGCGTTGTGCGTCGACTTCTGCTGTTCATTGGCCTGTTTCATTGGTGAGAAATCTTCATCCGAGGCAGCCCAGATCTTGGGCTGAAAAAAGTTGATAGGAGTCTCACCCCCCCCCAACTCGCTGGCCAGGGATGATGCGAGTTGTAGTCCCGCGTGTAGAGTGCCAGAGTGGAGCAAGTTTATATAAAGTACACCTGCTCATTTAGAAATCGTTATTTTGAAGGTCATTTTCTTGTAAAATGGGTCATCCGTTAGGGAAGTCAGTGTCCTGTTCCTAATAAATAACATTGTTTCTGTTATCAGGAAAACGGGCTGCTCCAGCCAGTTGATCCCGCTAGCACCAGCTTTTTCTGCTTGATGCATAATTCTCACTTTGAGATTGGTACTGGTTTAGGATAAGTAGCGAGTAAGCCTACGTTCTGCCTTACACTCCCTAGAACTGCAGTAACACCCATTGAATCCTCTGCTTGTAGCAAACACTCCCACAGGCTGAGTTTCCCCAAAGATGTGTTTTAATTTCTGAGCATTCATCAAAGCAGGGACGATTGCCCAGTTGTTACTGTCTGAGTGCTTAGAACATGCGTTATAAATCAGTGATAAAATGCAGCTATCAGAAGACCTTACTGAGGATTTTGGGGGGTGTCATTCCTCCTCACATTCTGTTTCAGAAACTGAGCATCTCTCAGCAACAGTCTCATCAAATAAACAGCAAGAGATGGCTGTGCCAAGGCAAAAGCATCTTTGCGAAGGACAGATTTATGCTGGCGAGTTTTATGAGACTTGTCCCACTGATAGCTGTTTATGATTAAAATTATGTACCTTCATTCCTTCAATAAGCTCAAGGCACTTTGTACTGTTGTACTGCCTCCCCATCCACACCCTATTTTTTTCTTTACAACAACCCTGTGATATAGTTTGGAGTGAGGTGCAAGGTAGTTGTGATGCCTTGTGAGATTCACAGATGAGGTGGATTTAAATTTGGGCTTAAACTAACCAATACATCACATAGGTCTGGTCAGATTAGAGCACATTGTTACCCATTGTATGTATATGATGCTTTTGCTTTCAGTTTCACATTATACAGCTATCACTTTATTGCCCATCAGTTCATAGGTGCTGGCCATAATTTTACAGGCTAAGTTTTGAAGTAAGTGGTATTGAGCTGCATTACAGGAATACTGTAAGTGCTTAAAGGGTTATCTTATGTAAAAGGTATGAAAATGTTCTACTGTAACAATATATGGATACGGCTAGCATTGTGTTCTCTTAAAGGATAGTGCTTGCCTGCCTGTGGTATGTCCCCCAGCCAAGACAGGAAAGATACTCAGAGAATTGTTGGGGAGTTGTTTATTTCTGTCAGAGAAAATTAGACAAGCGAGCATTGTGGCCATTCAGACATCAGATTTTCAGAATAAAAAAGTATTTTCCATTATGTGCAAACCAATCAAAATAAGTATTTGGATTCCAAGCCAGTACAGGTCCCAAGTTGTCAATGAAACTAACTAGTGGATTGCAGCTTGTCGTCCTGGAGCTAGCCCATCAGTCTTGGCATGGCCAGTGGTGAAGAATGCTGGAAGTTATCATCCAACAGTATGTGAAGGGCCACAGTTGGCCCATCCCTACTCTAATTCTTAGACCTTCTGTATGTACCATATTTCACTAGTGAAAACCACACTGTTCTGGAGTTCTTTATCTTGTTACACTGATAGTATGGAAATGGCTGGGATTGCAAGGCTTCATGCAGAGGTAAGTGGATGCTTCGAAGTTTCTCTGTGCTGAAACACTGTTGGCATCCATTCCTGTTATGTGTCCCAGAGAGCAGTGCAGGAAGGAGCAATACCTAAGCCATCCCCATGGTATAAATATCATACAAGAAGGAAGTTTTTAGTGACAAAATATGCCCAGTGATTTGTATAATTTGCAGACAGTAAGACCCCAGTCTACATCAAAGGTTTATTCTGTGTGTTGTGTAGGTAATCTCTAGTCAGTCTAATTCTTCTTCTCATGCTTCTGTCACAAGAGATTTACTCTTAAAACATTCAGTCTAGAATCAGATGGAACAGCAAGGAAAGACTAACATGTTTTTTTCCTCTTTGAGCAAAGTCTAAGCAAGCTAGGTTTATGACTAGGTAATAGGCACATTTCCTGTCTTCTGACTTGGTAAGAATATGTTCAACCTCACACTGAAATAACCTGCTAGTCTTAAGGTTACCACAATACTTTGCCTTTTGTTTTTGTCCTGTTTTATTTTTAGTATTAACTTTGTTATATAGTGGGTTTTACTAACTGTTCAGAGTGCTCCATTGTAGTCACTTCAGGAAATATTTACACTGCGTTTTCTGTTTAGTTATGTGTTTTTTTTTCTTACTGCTTTTTTTAGTGTGTGGCATGAAGGCTATATTTCCCCATTCTGTTTTGTTCTCTAGACTATTAGCAGGTTGTCTTTTGATACAGTGTCCTTTGTTTATTTCAAAGTTGCCTGAAACAGTTGGTTTCACAGGTTCATTTCATGTTTGTGTCTCTTTTCCTCTTCATAGTGTGTGTGTCATTCCTGGGAAGATTCTACCAGAGCCTGCGTGACAATAATGCTGAGTTCACACCAAATAGTATTGAAAAAGAAATTTTGAAATCCTGCAAAGAAACAAAAGGCAAGGAGAACCGTCTGGTAAGTAGCAGAGGCATGTTTCATTTCTGTGGCAAGTTGGATGAAAAATGTTAATTTGACATAAAAAAGGGTTGTGAAGAGATCAGAGTTCTTTCAAAACAAAGAAAACCTAATAAAAGTATTGAACAGACACTACTGAGAACTGAAGGAAGAATCTAGTTATTTATGTCTTCCTCTTCACCCCAATTTGATTCTCCAAGATGATTAGCATATTCACTTAAAGGAATTGTAGGAAAACAGTACAGCGGTACCAATACCAGAGGTAACAAGATTAGCATTTCTAGGATAATCTAGGTTTCTAGCATGTGGCAAAGGAGACTTCATTTTGATTATTGCTGATATTTGTCATTGGTGGGTCTGGGCTCTTTTCTTGCTGTCTGTCTGAGATTCGGAACAGTATCTACTCTGAAGATTTGAGTGGCTGTGTAGAAATATATCATCATGGACAGTCTTTCAAATACCCTTTAAAACCAAGCCTTTAAGGATGTATTAATGGTAATAAACTTCTAAGCACACATTCTTTATCTAGTAATTGAATCAGTTGGATTTAAACACGTATTCACTGATTCAGTAATTGAGTCAATGAGTACTCTCATTGCAACTAATGATTGGATTTAGGCCTTAATGTGTGATTTCTGAGGAAAGGGAATCTAATTGTGTCTGCTATACCTTATCCTTCCCAAGACTTCTTCAAATATCTCTTAAGCAGCCCAATTCAATATGAAAGATGGGGGGGACAGATGATTCATTGTTCAATAGTTGTGCTGATCCTTTAAGATTTTCTGCCTACTTTGATAACATCCCATGTTAGACAGTTCCCTGGAGCACTGAAGGTTTCAGCAGGCGGAAACAGAACTGCAGGGATGCTGTAACTTTCTTTTTCTGTTTTGAAAGAAAAGTTCTTTTAGGCTAACAACCGCCATCTTTATGTTTCAGACAAACTTGACAAGGCAGCCCAAAAGAAAATATAACTATTTTTAAGTGTACTGATCATCCATTGTCTGCTTCTTCTTTAGTGCTATTACATTGGAGCAACCAGTGATGCAGCCACTAAAATGATTAATGAGGTGTCAAAACCTCTAAGTAACCACATTCCTGTTGAGAAGATTTGTGAGAAGCTGAAAAAAAAGGACAGTCAGATATGCGAACTGAAGTATGGTGAGTACAATTATATGTTGGCTAGAAGTGAGTAAAAACCTTGATCGGCTAAAAGCTGGGCTAGTGAAGAATTTTGTTCTCGCAGTGTCAACCTGTGGGAAGCCTACAAGCAAGACGTAGGTGCTCTGCTCATGTATCCCTTAAGATAGTGATTAGAAACTTGTAGACTGATACTGGAGATTAATTTACAATTATTTGGACTCATAGGCATTGATACTGAAATGAAGGTAACACTGGTTATTGCAACTCAACATTGACAATGTTGTTTTCCATGAACTTAGTTTTTTTTTAAAAAATGGGTCTGTTGGTGGCTGTCATATCTCTTGTTGTAATGAATTCCTTTATTTAACTTTGCATTGCACAAAGTACTTTCTTACATCCATCCTCTGTTTTGCACCTATTAGTGTCTTTGTATGGCTGCTAGTTCTTTTATTAAGAAAAAGCTGCTTCCAATACATTTTTCCCAGCATAAGCATAATTGTAAGAACCTCTATCACACTGGTCATCACTAGCTGTTTTGTTTATAGATGTACTCCCTTCTTCAGAAGTAACTTTGAATTGTTTTAGGCAGAGAGAATGAGCATGCAGAGTACCATGCTTTAGGCTAGGTCTCATCATGCACAGTTTTCCTTTGTGAAAGAGTGTCATGATCTTCCAACAAGTAATCATTATTTCATCCAGTCATATATTGCAGTACTCCCAATACTGAAGTATATCTCCTTGGACTGGTTATGCTTGCAATGCTTGCATTGTCTCTATACTAGCATTTAGCAGCCAAGAATAAAATACTGACTTAATTATGGAATATTTACTGGGGAGGGATGGTGCTGAAAACCAGGAAAAACATAGTTGCATGTTCAATCAGGAAAAGTCTAATCCTGGAGGTCAGTGGTTCCCAACCTTGGGTAACTCAGATGTTCTTGTACTGCAAGTCCCAGAAACCATGGGCAGGGCAGCAAGTGGTGAAGGCTTCTGGGAATTGCAGTCTAAGAACACCAGGTTACCCAAGGTTGGGAACCACCACTATATGTAAAACAAATTGGTAATGTTTGACAGGAACCTTCTTGGTAATCTTCTGAAGGAGAATTCTAGCATGGAGTAAATACTAATTGATCTCAACTAATTGAAAAATAAAAAGAAAAACAATCTTATCAGATTTATTAGAGCAGAAGAAATCAGTTCAGGGTGACACTGCATCCCCAATCATTGAGAACTAAGATGAACACATATGTCTTGGTATGTGTTCTGGTTCTCTTTGAAAGAAAGTGGGAAGCTTATAATCTTTCCCAAATTCTTCACTAATTAATGTAGGTACTTGTTCTCTTGTTTTGTCCTCTCTTGGGGTAATATTCAGTTCTGCCTTACTACTTACATAGGTAATATTTTGAGTTTTCATAGTTGCTTCTGAAAGCTACGAAAGTGGAAATTTCCCCCAACAGATCTTTATCTGGATTTCTACTTTCCTGGATGAGAAATACACACAGACACACACACTATTGTAGGACAGTTGACAAAAAGATATGTACCTCTGTTAGTTTGCAAAATGCAACAGTGGCCAGAGGATTGGAAAAGATCAGTCTACATCCCAATCCCAAAGAAAGGCAGTGCCAAAGAATGCTCCAACTACCTTACAATTGCACTCATTTCACACGCTAGCAAGGTTATGCTCAAAATCCTACAAGGTAGGCTTCAGCAGTATGTGAACCGAGAACTCCCAGAAGTACAAGCTGGATTCCAAAGGGGCAGAGGAACTCGAGACCAAATTGCTGGATTATGGAGAAAGCCAGAGAGTTCCAGAAAAATATCTACTACTGCTTCATTGACTATGCAAAAGCCTTTGACTGTGTGGACCACAGCAAACTATGGCAAGTCCTTAAAGAAATGGGAGTGCCTGACCACCTTATCTATCTACTGAGAAACCTATATGTAGGACAGGAAGCAACAGTTAGAACTGGATATGGAACAACTGACTGGTTCAAAATTGGGAAAGGAGTACGACAAGGCTGTATATTGTCCCCCGGCTTATTTAACTTATATGCAGAATACATCATGCGGAAGGCTGGACTGGAGGAATCCCAAGCCGGAATTAAGATTGGCAGAAGAAATATCAACAATCTCAGATATGCAGATGATACCACTCTGCTGGCAGAAAGTGAGGAGGAATTAAAGAACCTTGTAATGAGGGTGAAAGAAGAGAGTGCAAAAAACGGCCTGAAACTCAACATCAAAAAAACTAAGATCATGGCCACTGGTCCCATCACCTCCTGGCAAATAGAAGGGGAAGATATGGAGGCAGTGACAGATTTTACTTTCTTGGGCTCCATGATCACTGCAGATGGAGACAGCAGCCATGAAATTAAAAGACGCCTGCTTCCTGGGAGGAAAGCGATGACAAACCTTGACAGCATCTTAAAAAGCAGAGACATCACCTTGCCAACAAAAGTCCGAATAGTCAAAGCTATGGTTTTTTCCTGTAGTGATGTATGGATGTGAGAGCTGGACCATAAAGAAAGCAGACCGCCGAAGAATTGATGCCTTTGAATTGTGGTGCTGGAGGAGGCTCTTGAGAGTCCCCTGGACTGCAAGGAGAACAAACCTATCAATTCTAAAGGAAATCAACCCTGAGTGCTCACTGGAAGGACAGATCCTGAAGCTGAGGCTCCAGTACTTTGGCCATCTGATGAGAAGAGAAGACTCCTTGGAAAAGACCTTGATGTTAGGAAAGTGTGACGGCAAGAGGAGAAGGGGACGACCGAGGATGAGATGGCTGGACAGTGTCTGCGAAGCAACCAACATGAAATTGACAGACCTCCGGGAGGCAGTGGAAGATAGGAGGGCCTGGCGTGCTCTGGTCCATGGGGTCACGAAGAGTCAGACACGACTAAACGACTAAACAACAACAACAACACCTCTGTTATAACGCCCTGTATCTATTGCAGTGATTGTGTTCAGTTGTAACTCTGGTTTGTCGTCATGTGAGCAAAGCTTGTATGCGCCTCCTCTATTCCTTGTGGACATGTCCCAAACAAACTGTGCCTGGTCTTAACTGTGAAAAGAAACAGTTGCAAAACCCGGTTTGATAATCCTGGCCTGTTTGCTAAAACTGTAATTGATTAAGTATACTTTCAGTTTTTTTCCTAATACTGTAAGCAACCATCGTAGAACAAGGTCCAGTGCACATTTTTCAAATTCTGCTCATGCAACACTTAACCCATAATTCAGCATTGTGGATCAGCCAGATCATTATTTCTCTTATCAGTACAGTGGTGCCTTGACTTACGAACTTAATTGGTTCCGGAACTCTGGTCGTAACTCAAAATGATTGTAAATCGAAGCGCCATTTCCCATAGGAATGCATTGAAATGCAATTAATCCATTCCAGCCGAAGAAAAAAATCACCAAAAAGAAAAATCACTGCCAGACCCATCAGAAATGTGATAAATCCCTTCTGGCTGAAGGGGAGGGGGGGAGAAAAGCAAGCAGAGCGTGCAAGACCCATCAGAAATGCAAAGATAGCAAACTAGAAAGCAAGCAGAGCGTGCAAGACCCATTGGAAATGCAAAGAAAGCAAGGCAAAAAGCAAGCAGAGTGCTAAAGACCCATAGGAAATGCAAAACAAAGCAAAAAGCACGCACATTGTGCAAGACCCATCGGAAATAGGGGGAAAACCTCAAAAGCAAGGAAACCCCCTAAACCCACCAAAAATGGGGAATACCAAAAAATAAACAATCCCCCCAAGACCAATCACAGCACAGAAACATAACCCCCAGCCCAAAACCATGCTGCAAAACCCACTCAGAACAGTTTTTAAAAAGCAGAAAACAGCACCTTGCCTTATCAGGCAGTCCGAAGCCTCCTCCAGTCGCACTCTGTTGGGGCAAAATAGCTACAAAGAAACAGCCTCTTCGCCTACCAACACTTAGCAGTTTGAATTTCCCACCTTTTTTCCCTGCCTTTTTCTGTTCATAGTTGGAAGCTCCGACTGCAAGTCAAAGCAAAATTTTGTGGTTGGAGCTGGTCGTAACTCAAAATGGTTGTAAGTCAGGACATTCATAAGTCGAGGCATCACTGTACTGGCAACTGATTGGAATCATTTTTTTAAATCTTGCTTTATTTCAGTGTGTCCATTTCAGAGGTATTTGAGGAAAGCTTTTGCTATATATAAAAAGTTGTAGTTATGGTGTTGTGTAGTTCATATATTTTTAGCCCATGCTAACCAAGCAAATTAGGACAGTGTGATTTTGACTTGGAATTTTCAGTACATATGATGCCTTTATTTTCTTAAGACACGGGAAGCATTTGACACTTAAAAGGGTGTTGTGTCTTTAGGGTCATATTGCTGTGCATCTTTACGTTAGAGCAAGTCTCAGTCAAATTTATGAGACATCTCCTAAGTAATCATGCATAGGATTGTGTTACAAATATGAAAGGGATCCTTGACTAACTGATGAACTACTGATGCTTCATACAGTAACATGACCCTCTCTTCTACCAGATAAACAGATTGATCTCAGCACAGTGGACCTGAAGAAGCTGCGAGTCAAAGAACTGAAGAAGATTCTAGATGATTGGGGTGAAACATGCAAAGGCTGTGCAGAAAAATCGGACTACATTCGGAAAATCAATGAACTGATGCCTAAATATGCCCCCAAAGCAGCTAGTTCACGGACAGACCTCTGACCACCATTGTGGCCTCTAGCACATTAGCAACTCACACACAAACTATATTACTCTTCCTATTTTTTCTTTCTTGGAGAGCTGTTTTTGTAACTTATTTAACAGGGTTTCATGTGTCAGAGTGGAGCGGTTCTTGCAATGCTGGTTCAACTGCCTTGTCATGTCAAGTTTTTCTCTTGTCACTGATTTATGTTAAAATGCTGACATGTATGGGTTTTTTGAAATAAAACTTGTGAAATCCAGTGTCAGTTGAATTAATGGGACTCATATGAGTTCAGTGGCAGAAATCCTACTGATGATTTATACATGTATAAGTGAAATTATGCAAGTTCTTATGGCTGGATTGCTATTGTTATAAAGTCCTGGCCATTTTCCTACTCATGTGCCCACTGCATGAACAGATGTCTGATCAAGAATGCAATAATCACATTAACTTTAATTGGCTGCTGAAATTTACATAATTTCATTAATGCATCTATAAATGATCAAAGCAGCTTTTTGCATAAATAGATATAGGTAATGAGGGAACCTTGCAGATTCTGGATAACCTTTTAAACAGTGCTATTTGTACAATTATATTCTTGCATGTTGCTTCAGTTAAGTCAGAGGAGGGTCAAAATAGACTGGGAACCAGTGCTTTATTACATTGGTACTGGTAGAATGAGCTAAGCAGTTAGTATAAATGGGTAAAAAAAAGATGTGTTGCACCATCCCTCCTGTCAAAACTGCAGTCCACAACTTGCTGGTCTTTGACCATAATAAAATCCATCCATCTATGCAGTCCACAGCCTGATAAGGAGTGGCTGCCAGAGTGCACACAGGACAAGATGGGCTTAATTTTGCTCACTAACTTTTGAAAAAGACAATGTGGTAAATTCATTTTGGAATTTCTTCCGTCTTGTTAATAGGTGCCTGTTATAAGGGGTCATGCATTAGTACACACAAGGGGTAATTGACTACAAGGCCCAGTGCTAGTAGTGTTTCTGACAGAAGGGGTTGCATCCAGATCTACCTGTTTTAACAGTGGACATGGTCCCTCAGATGCTGCCACTTCTGCCTCAAGAGGGCTGGTAGATACACTCTGGAGCAGATGTACTGTATTGTTCCATGAGTGGACTCTCGATCATGTAACATTGGATGGTCAGAATACCTTAAATACTGACCAAGGACAAAGGGTACCTTGCTTTTAGCTGATTTTTTAAGCTGCTTTGAAGTTGGACTGCAACTTAAAAAGGGCAGCAATTATGCATTTTAAGTGAAACTTTATGCAGGTATTATAGATGTAAGTTGCATCTTCATCCCTACCCAGGGCACTGGCTAGGAGTCCGCATTTGCGGGATTGTACGGTCCTTAGCCTGAAACTGCCCCATTAAGCACTATGCAAACGGTACATAAAGTAATATTTACATAATACCGACTTTTCAAATGCAGAGCAAGGGAGTTAAATACTATTTCAGCAATGTAACATTTAGCCACGTCGACTGTTTATGGCAATAGCTTTCATTTCACGGGAGTTTTTCCTCAGGTTCTAAAGAGAATGCGATAGAAGAGCTGCCACCCTCCTTCCTTGACAGGCTGTACTGTATGAGAAAAGAAAGAAAAAAACGACGGGGATTCCTCGAGGTATTAAACGCCTCTTAATCCCGCCCTTAATAAGAAAGCAGAGGTTGCGTTCCACCGTAGCCGGACAGCCTTGCGCGGCAAAAGTTTAGGAAGGCGGTGGGGAGGTGGTCTTTCTGCCCTCACTTTCCACAGCCCGCTTCCGTAAGGGGCCTTGAAGGCGACCGTCAAAGCACGTGAAAGCGGGAAAGGTCTCGCACGCGGCCCTCATCCATCCAGATCTCGCCTTAACCGGGCACGAGGGATGGCGCCAAAACCGACCCGAGAGCTTTTTGGCCCCCTCCCCCACCCGTAAGGCGGTGGGGAGGTGGTCTTTCTGCCCTCACTTTCCACAGCCCGCTTCCGTAAGGGGCCTTGAAGGCGACCGTCAAAGCACGTGAAAGCGGGAAAGGTCTCGCACGCGGCCCTCATCCATCCAGATCTCGCCTTAACCGGGCACGAGGGATGGCGCCAAAACCGACCCGAGAGCTTTTTGGCCCCCTCCCCCACCCGTTATTTGCGAGCGGCGGTAAGCGAAGGAGTCGCGTCGCAGC